TCCTTTTTATTAATGGTGTTTTTAGAAAGGAAATATTGAATACATTTTAAAAATAATATTTTAAACTAGAACTGCTCAATAATTTTACTTACCAAAATATTGCTATTGAAATATTTTAGAATAAAGTATACATGCAAAAAAATAAGAAAATTTCAATATAGAAACAAACCTATAACTTTATCTTAAATTAGAATTTTGATTTTTCACGTATGCATGTAAAGTTTAAATTTACAAAATTAAAATATATTAATATTTTTTCAAGTATAAAATATGAATGAATGATCTTAAATTGCATACTTAAATTCTACATTGTAATACAAGATGTATTACAAATACTAATTATAAAAAAATTTTTTTAAATATCTTACATTCATAAAAACAAATGTAAATTTTTTAAAAAAAATATAATAATTTATAGTATTAGTGTAAATTATTAACATTATAAATAAATTTATTAACTTTTATTATTATAACATAAATTAGAATTAAATAGAACTTTCAGTTTGAGTTGTATCAAAAGAAAAGAAAAGAAATAAATATAAAAATTAAAATCTTCAAATTAAATGTGTACTTGATCTAAAATTTTACACATCAGAATACAGTAGATCCCCCTATAAAACCGTTTCCTATAGTTATGATTCCTATAAAAATTGTGGCAGTATCCGTAAACAACGGTAAAAATAACTCCTATAATACGTAAAACGTCATCGGGCAGCCGAACTACTTTCCCGCCGTCCGTAGCGCCACGCTACGGACGTTTAGGCGGATAAATTGAGTTTAGTATCGTCTGTTCATATAATTATATATAAATTAGGTACTGTACATATAATTATATATTAATTATATATAAATTAGGTACTGTATATATAATTATATATTAACTTAATTTATTGTAACTTTATTATAATTAAATATATATTTTTCGCCGTCTAGCGTCACGCTACGGCGAGTTAGGCGACCTATCGTCTGTTTAGTACTGTAATTTTATACATTTCTTGTGAAAGAAACATTTCTTATTTAACGGCCATAAAAATTATTTATATTAATGATGTCTCCAAAGGTCAACGAAGTTTTCGCAGAAAAATAATATCAGAAATCGCGGCCGCAATTTGATGCGCTGTTCCGCGACGAAACCAAGCTTTAGCAACGGGCGTAGTCGAACGGTACACACTCGGTAAGCAATCCTACAATTTTTTGTTTATAA